TTAGACGCTCACCGCAGTTTCGACTAGGAGCCGTCGTCAGGCCGGTGGTGGATGCTGCGGATGCGGTGTTTCTCCCGCTGGACCACCTGGGCCACCTGGTCCAGACGGAGAGCCTGGAGGTGATGGACAGCCAGGACGTCCAGGAAATGATGGCCCTGATGGACCACCAGCCACACCCGCCCCACAGGTCAACCCTTGCTACAACTGCCCCCCTGGCCCACCAGGACCCCCAGGAAACCCAGGAGGCCAAGGACAGCCAGGAAACCCAGGATCAGACGGACAACCAGGAAACCCTGGAAACCCAGGAGGAGCTGGACAGCCTGGACCACCAGGACCACCCGGAAACCCTGGAGCACCAGGAAACCCAGGAGCACCTGGATCACCCGGAACACTCAACACCGTACCCGGACCTCAAGGACCACCTGGACCACCTGGACCACAAGGACCTCCCGGACCTGATGGAAACCCTGGAGGCCCAGGAAACAATGGTAACGATGGACCACCAGGACCTCCTGGAGACAACGGAAACCCAGGATCACCTGGACAGCCTGGTGACGATGGAGCCCACGGAGATGATGGAGATAATGGAGGACCAGGAGGTTGCGATCACTGCCCTCCACCTCGCACTGCTCCAGGATATTAAATTGTATATTTTAGCTTTACTGCTGTCAATTCAATTTCAGATAGAATCTATGAAGATCTAATAAAGATGTTCATGAAGCGGTTATGTTCTGACTAGATTAATACAAATCACATGACGGTCAATTCGGCACAAGTGAATCGTTATGCCTAATTCTGATCCCCCATATAAGTTTATGCGTGCACGTTTTGTAACGTACTGACAAGCAGATAGCACAGCTCACTGGTTTTTGATCTCATATCTTATAGTTATACAAAGCGTAAGCACGATGCAACAAATGGCAGTGCTTTGCTCTGGCCAAAAATTCGCTGCTGATGCGAGCAAACGGTACAAGGTAAACAACAAAGCCATCCCCTATTTTTCAGTTTCAACGACGCAACGACATTTGCCCTTTTTCTTATTCTGTGGTCTAGGTAAGATAAAGAATGTAGCTGGAAATCATTTTTAGCGTTTTTTCCTTGTTTGAACGTAGCGATTAATGCAGATGTGAGTAAACTGCTTCTATGCATCGTTTATCTCACAGATTCCTCCTTCGCTGATCAACAAATTAACTAACTGCTACATAGTGCTCCATATAGTGTAGCCAATACCGTAGCCTACTAGGTTGAAGCTCTCTAACCAAATTAAAAAACCTATCAAAATGGTCGAAAGACTGGAGACGCAATAGGATTACCGTGAAAAGCCGTGGCTGTGAAAGAAATCAAAAAAAAA